AGATGAGACTATTGCAGTACTTCAGTCTGGACGTGACAGACTGTGTGCTGAACATTACATTAAACCCAACTTCAACCTCTGTACTACTTCAAATTCTGCTGACTGGCTGATGAATAAGAAATATCAATCAATATATAGTGACATATACATGTAAAAACTAATGAGAATCTGTCCAAGAAAGACAGAATAATGCTTATAGGTGTGCAGGCCATGACTTTTGTTTATCAATATCTTAATTTTATATAATTAAATATTCTGCAGAGAGATGTATAGAGAGAAGTTGCCACATTTCCACAGTTGCCTCTGTTTGAACATAATTGAATAGCCTACCTCAACTTCAGAGTCAAAGTCAACTTTATTGTCAATTTCAAAATATGCCAGACATACAGTGGAATCGAAATTGCATTTGTCTCCGCGGTGCAATACAACCAAAATAAGGTAAAATAAGATAAAATAAAATAAGGTAAAATGAGATAAATAATATTTACAGTAATACATTCTAAATAGTGCAAAAGGTACAAAACAAAATGGTAAATAAAATAAAATTTAAAGAAAAAGTAAACTGGGACTACCTGTCTGGCCTGTCCCAAATAAAGGGGTCGTTTTTAAAAGAGCCGGGGCTATAATTAGAATCTTTAAGGTTCTTTTTGTATACATATTATATTTGTATTGTATTATATTTTTTGTATATATATTATATTTGTATTGTATTGTATTTTTTGTATATATATTATATTTGTATTGTATTGTATTTTTTGTATATATATTATATTTGTATTGTATTGTATTTGTATATATATTATATTTATATTGTATTATATTTTTGTATATATATTATATTTGTATTGTATTGTATTTTTGTATATATATTATATTTATATTGTATTGTATTTTTTATATATATTATATTTATTTGTATTATATTTTTTGTATATATATTATATTTGTATTGTATTATATTTGTATATATATTATATTTGTATTGTATTATATTTTTTGTATATATATTATATTGTTTGTATTATATTTTTTGTATATATATTATATTTATTGTATTATATTTTTGTATATATTTATATTTGTATTGTATTATATTTTTGTATATATATTATTTGTATTGTATTATATTTTTGTATATATTATATTTGTATTGTATTATATTTTTTGTATATATATTATATTTTATATTGTATATATTTTTGTATATATTATTTGTATTGTATTATATTTTTTGTATATATCCATTAAGGACAATATTACGTCATACAGTTTGTTTAAATGATTTAGTAGCGAGGTTTTAATGTGTTTCCAGACGCGACTTGACTGCGACGTATTAACGCTAAATTGGATTTAAGCTAACATTAGCCATGACACACTTACAGGTTGTTTACTCAGTGAAGGATTAAAGTATATGCTCATCCTTAGTGCTGTGTTTCATATTGTATATGCTTATCCTTAGTGCTGTGTTTCATATTGTATATGCTCATCCTTAGTGCTGTGTTTCATATTGTTTATGCTTATCCTTAGTGCTGTGTTTCATATTGTACATGCTTATCCTTAGTGCTGTGTTTCATATTGTATATGCTTATCCTTAGTGCTGTGTTTCATATTGTTTATGCTTATCCTTAGTGCTGTGTTTCATATTGTACATGCTCATCTTTAGTGCTGTGTTTCATATTGTACATGCTCATCCTTAGTGCTGTGTTTCATATTGTTTATGCTTATCTTTAGTGCTGTGTTTCATATTGTATATGCTTATCCTTAGTGCTGTGTTTCATATTGTTTATGCTTATCTTTAGTGCTGTGTTTCATATTGTTTATGCTTATCCTTAGTGCTGTGTTTCATATTGTTTATGCTTATCCTTAGTGCTGTGTTTCATATTGTTTATGCTTATCCTTAGTGCTGTGTTTCATATTGTTTATGCTTATCCTTAGTGCTGTGTTTCACATTGTTAGGAGCAGTGACAGTGTATAAACCAGGTGTGAAACAGAGGGTATTCATACTTCTTCACACTAGTTATATCTCCTGTTACTTAACTCCTGGTGACCACAGGGTCCTTAAAGTATTCTTTAAATAATAAAACAACATAATGTATGAAGTTCTTCTTCTCAACAAAGATACCTTTATGAGTCAAAGACGTGATGCTAAATTTCTTTTTGAGGACCTTTGGGATAATACTTGGGTTAAGAAGATGTCAATGTGGTGTTACTGTAAAGGGTTAAACGTAGTGCTGATTAATTCAATTATCTGCACATCCCATCAGAACACTCTTTCAACTATATATTTTAAAAAAATATTTATTATTTCACAGGTCGGACTCGAACCCGTCCACTCGCCTCTCAAGACTTAAGACTTAAGCCTATTATAATTAATTAAGAGAAATTGTGTCACCAATTCAACCACCTAAAGTGTCAAGATTGTCTTGATCTTTCCTTTCCTGTAAATTTGTCATTAGTTTGGATCGCGCCATCCTATAAATTCATATCTCACACCTGTCATTATCATATAAATAATATTTAGAGTTGATTGTGTACGTAATATCATGATTAACATTATTTTTTAATCAAAGGAGAATAATGTTAATTCATTGCAACCAAGATGACAGCCACATGTCAGACTGGAAACCCGGGTCGTCTGCTCTCGAGGACTCTCTGTACACGGGGCGTGCAAACTAACAGCTAGGCTACCAGCGCCCCAGTTGAATTTTCTGTATATTTTATACTGTTATATTGCAGACAGAAAATTATATTGCAGTGTCTGCATTATCCAATATCCTGCAGCCCTAGTAAGGATAGTAGTTTTTCCAGTGTTATAATATTTCTACAGTTACATTTTTCTTGAAGTTTTGCCTTTATATGCCTTTTACTTTTGCCAATTTAAAGTCAACATGCAGATGTCAATAATGTGTTTAATCGCTCTGTGACTGGAAAATGTTTTTCAATATAAAAATATATTATTTAACATGTATTAATTCTATAAATAAATGTACTTTTAGCAATAAGAAAACATCATGAGCTAGCTGGACGAACTCTCTTTGACTCATGCTTAATATGCCCCTTTGGCTTAAAGAAAAATCACAACAATAAGGTTTTAAACGAAGCAAGTTTGGATTAATTAAAACAAACTTTAAGGACGATATGACAAAGCTTACTTTCTTTAAAAAATATTTCTTTAAATTCAGTTGAATATGTTGATCTTTGTCATCTCCCTACCTGGTGGATGGAAACTCTAACTGAGCTTGTGTAATATAAGAGACATCTCTTTAATATGTTTCTGATTTTAGACATAAGTCTTGTTGTAACCGTCGTCAGTTCCCTACTTAAATGAATACTTTCAACTTGATCACCTAAACATGTAATCTGCTGCATATTTCAGCGCTCATTACCCCCAGCTGCCTTTCAAAATCACGTGGCTAAAAATCAGAAGCCGCCAAGAAGAATGCGCTGGATGCCAATAAACTGCTCTGCTTCCCCACTCACCACTTGCAAGTTGCAGGCCTTTTATTTGTACAAACCTTTCAATAGATCTTATTTGGATGCAAAGCCTGCGTCATTACCTGACAAAACAAGCAGCCAGAGGCTTAAGGCTGCGGGCCTTTAATTGATCCTGTCTGTGAATGGCAGCCCTTGATCTAAAGGGACTAGTTTTAGCAGTGTCCTCACTTCTTACAGCCGGTGTGCCTTGAATATAACCTTGTCATTTTGAAGCCCCCCCTCTATGCCTCTCTGTCTAATGAGTCCCCTGTTTGTTACAGCTACAATCTGCTATCTTTGTGTGAAACAGCAACATAATAAATCTGCTAATTTGTGGATTTATTCTGTAAAACATTAAGAAGAACTGCTTAGTTCTCTATTTCTTCTGCATAATATTGAATCTTAACTTTGTGTTATCTGCGTCACTTCTCAGCAGCACTAGAGAGCTTGTTCTCACTCTAATGCTTAAAGGGGAGGAGGGAGTGCGATGATATAATCCGATCAGCTGTTTCTCAGCACCTGCAGTCAGGCTATTCTCAGTTTGTAATTCCCTTCATGTTGTTAAAACTTTGGTTTGAGTATTTCTTTTTGGCAATCAGCAACACACACACACACACACACACACACACACACACACACACACACACACACACACACACACCAAATCTTGAGTTTCCAAACTGTGTGGATCAGGCCTAGGGGTACGCGACATAATGAACACAGCATGATGAAGTTAAACGAAATATTGCACTGCAACACTGATCCATGAGAGATACACGAAGATATCGTTTGTTTCAGGATATTATAAGAGATTATATTCTTTGGTGTAGTGGATTTAAACCCTGTGCATGTCTTTTTTAATTAAAGGAAGAATATGCAACTTTTTGTTCAGTAGATGTCAACCTTGAGCACCAGCAGTAAACCAAAAAAAAAAAAGATGTTTGGCGACACCTCCGCTCTCCTCCAGCGGCCCTCCTCCAACCCCTCTCCACTCACATTAGCACAAAGGAGTTATGAATTACAACGCACCATAAACAAGCACAATTAAGTGCAAGCGGTGTACAAAATTGTTCTTGGCTCGAGCTGCAATGTTGTGTTAGCATGCTAATATTAGCACACTTATAACTTCAGATTGCACATGAAGTGACACAGAATGACTGTGAGCTAAAAACACTTATGTGACATTCAAATAAGCAGTGAGTATGTTCTTCTTTTCTCTAGTCCTTGACTTAAACAGCTTTATACACAAGGCCGTCCCGTCCACACAGCTCTGACAACAGTACAGCTGGAGGGACTCACACTTCTCACTCATTGTAGACAGTCATGACTCAGAGAGACATTTACACAGGATGTTCTTGATTTCTGCTGTATTTGTGTCGCACATTCTTCCTTTAATGTCTTAATTCCTTCATTATTTTGTCTTTGGTATGCCATCAGCACAATCATTCTGAGATTGCATGCATTCAAAAATACTCCAAAGAAATATTTTTGCTTTAACAATACACATTTTTCTGTCCCTGCTTCAGATAATCCTGGCTTTCTGTTGGGTCTACATTCGGAAATTTCAAAGTCGGCAGGAGAGTGAAGTTGTTTCGACCATCACAGCAATATGTGCACTATCCATTGCTTTGATAACATCTGCTCTCCTACCGGTGGATATATTCCTTGTTTCATTCATGAAGTATCCCAATGGCACCTATAAAGTAAGTATTTGTTCATCTTATAGCATCAGTGCAATCTATTGGAAAAAAAATGCTAATTACTTTTGCTGCTGCAGCTTTTCTTTGCAAACCAAGGATGCTGTTTTTGTTCAGTCTGAAAGCTTAATGCATTTCTTGGCTCATTTGATTCTCTGCAACTCAATGCATCTGTTTCCATCTATTTGAAGATTTAGCAAAGTGTGTAATAAGTTAAGGTAATTAGTAATTAGTTGCTTTGTGTGGATTTTGGGTGGTATTGTGTTTGGTACAGTGAAGTCATAGCCACGTGATTATGGCTGCAGCATAATCCCTGTGACTCAATGAGATGATTTCTTTGCTCTCTGATCACTTAATGATAAAACTCTGTGTTCAAAACAAGTATTATAAAGCAAAGAAGTGTGAGAGTCAGTGATGGCTTTTCTGCAAACACGCAAAAGGGTTCAAACAGAAATATGATTGAGTAACAGTGCTAGCTTTTGATGAGAAAAGAGTGTAGCCCAGAGCAGTGAATGTCATGACATCACAGGAGCTGACAGAAATGACACAAACCTTTTCCTCTAGGCTTGAAATCTCCAAAAACAATATCTGCCTTGAAATCTTTTTGCAGCTTTTCACAGCTTTTATTTTTCAATTTGACAAATCATTGTTTAAGTAACATGCAGCAAAAAAAAACAGTTAAGACAAAGGTCTGACAGCTTTGAGTTATTCTTCCCTTGCCTGTCTGGTTTTTGCATTATTTTCTTTTCCGTCTGAATTTAGTTCATGAAACTAGATAAACAGAGCAGTCAGATCACTTGACACATATTTTTAGTAATTTGGTATAGCCCTTCCCGGCGCTGCACTTTTTCTCCAGGTTGCTGCCTGCTGCTGCAGACACTTTCTCCTCATTGAAAAAAAAAACCCTAGGTGGACATGGGGCCTTATTGTTTTTTGTATGATGATCTTCTTTGTTTATTTGTAAAGGGACAAGTTTGGAGCAAGTAAACTGTTACCATGCACTACAGCATTTATAGCCTGAGCTGATTTGCCGGTGCCTTGATGGGCCCACACATAAAACTCAACATCTCTCCCTTTACTGTTGAACTTAATTCTAACTTTTAGCATGGATTCTTCTTTGTCTTACCTCTAGGAATGGGCAGCAAACAATCTGACGAGAGGGCAAATTGAAGACACCGTGCTGTATGGATATTACAGTAAGTGCATTCTGTTCATACCTGAGGCTGTTACCATGGGTGCAAATATCAATAAAACAAGTAAACAAAAGCTTAACTGGTGAGAGCTTTCTGCAGAAATTAAACTCTCTCAGTTAGCACTTCAATCTTTAATACTTATTTTGAAAACGATGGAATAAAATAAATCTGCCTGTGGCACGCAGGGGGCGTGGCCTCCTGACAGCTCACCTGTTCTCCAAACATGATCACACTGTAGAAGAAATGAAACATTTGGATATTTTTAAAATGAATTTAAACAGCCAACACTGTAAAAAAGAAAAAGAAAGACAAACATCAACACAAAACTGGAAGAGTTGAGCTTATTTGTGAACTGTAAGAATAGGTGTACTCAATCATTCTCCTAGGACTTCAATAAAATATTTAAAATAATTTATTATAGTGCAGCCAGGTTTAAGTCAATAAAACCAGAGGCTTGACTCAACCCCACAGCAATCCTTGTGGGTTATTAGTCTAACTTTGGGACTCACACTGGCTGAGTGATCCCCACAGAGGTGAAACCTTCCCACAGACTGCATCTTTATTGCACATTGAGCTTCACATCTTTCCACATATCCAGTTTTAACCAGGCTTTATTACAAGTCGGAATAATAATAGCCAAATTCTACAAGAACAGTCTTTGTCCTTTTTCAAAACCAGTATAATGTATTCACAGAGCAAAACATGGCATTCAAATGAAGAATGTGAGAGAAATTTCTTCCAAAACTATGAGAATTGCTAGTTCTCTGAAGAAGTACAAACTTGGTGTTATGAGTCAAAAACCTTTTTACTACATGCAGCACGGAGAGGAGACATTATGTTAGTTCTCAGAAGACAGTCAGACTCATACTGCTGTTTCTACGGAAACCACCCCACAGTATCAACACATCAAACAACAATTGATCAATTTACCAATAGGAATGCAAATTTCTTAAAATGCAATCACATTGTCTCGTCAAACAGTAGGAAGCCACCAGGTGATAGGATATCAAAGGGACAGTCTGGAAGTCATTGATTAAAAGACGAGATGTTTCAAACCTCTGCTCTCTCCTACTCAAACAGCATATGATTATTGTTACAATGAACAGAATTTGCCAAGTGGCCTGCAGCTTAAAGAAGTCAACAATAGCTGTGAAAATAAAGTTAGTTTTTATTAGATTTTAAATATGATGACATGTTTTATGTTTAATGAACCTTGTGCCATAGATGGAGCTCATACAGTAATCTGATCACGATGTTGCTGGGGAACACAGGTCAATGGATTTGCCTGAACTTTACATAACGACTTGTATTATAATCATTGGCCATTAAATGTCTCACTCATGTGCAATGGGGATCATATTTACTAACTCGATTAGACTAACCAAGTGTGTTTCTTGTACACTCTGCCTTGTTAACTTTTTGCCTTTTTGCTCTTATGCTTTTTTTTTTTTTTTAATAATGCATATGATTATAAATAATATATCTGTGAATGTTAACATAACCTTGCATTTTTTGTATCTTTGATAAACATTTGTTTCATGCAAATGTGCATTTAAGTTCATAAATTATTTTTTTGTTGACCCAGCTGTATTACAGCAATACGTTTTTTCCCATAGAGACCAATTGTGATCTCATTATATATTAATAATGCTGCGTTTCATGCATGTATGCTGCATGTGTTTTGTCTTCCTCTTTTATATGAAAACAGGACAGGATATTCGCACCATGTCCTTACAGAGCAAGTTAAAATAAACATAAAAAATCAACATATAGACTCATAACTGGATGGTGGTTATGCATCGCTCCGGTTGATATACCAGTTTAACCTGACACAGCCTTCATTTATTGAATCTCCATTTTTTTAGATCAAAATACTGCCAGCTGCACTGCTCCTGCAAGATGCCATGTTGCTTTAAGAAGTAAACCATTAGTTATGACTGCTTTGTGTGAAGTGCTTTATCTTGACGTGTTTCCTTGGACCTAAATGTCCTGATGAGCTTTTAGTGAAATTGTAACATTTAACCAGCACTGGCAGTTGTTGTGCATTATTGTCTGGCTTTTGCATACTGTTTTATTTCCTTGCTTTGAGAGAGCACAGGTCCAGTCCCCATGGATCACTCTGTAATACTACCATGCGTGCGTTGTTGCAATTCAGGGAGACAGTCTCCAGGCTGTTTGTCTGATAAATTGCCAACTCAAAGCTATTAGTGCCACTGAAATATCTTGTTGATTGTCATATTAGGGGGATAACACGAGTTTGTTGTCTTTGACGATAGCAAATTCAGTCATACTAGAGACACTAGATCACACGTTTTCGAACAGATGCTGACTTAAAGTGCCTGTCAGCAACACTGTTTTGTGCCGTCTGTTCAGAAATGCCAAATGCAAGGAAGACAAGCTGTCTCCTTTCCCAGACAGCCCAATCAAAGAAACCGCTTCCACTGGTAGGATGACATCGGCAAATTGTCTTTCATGGACTAAGAACAGTTCAAGTGAATCCAGCACTCAAGGGGACATGGTTTATTGTCCTCTGGATCTTTGAATATGTATGCATGCACAGCATTGATTTCCTCTTTAATGACCTACAGTGTGAAATAGAAGCTTCCTCAAATAGAAACTTAGAATATTAATAAAACGCCTAGTCATGAATGCAGGCTGTGCCCTGTCAGAATTCATTACTTGACCAGAGTGCCTGGAGATCATGTTAGAAAGTGTAATATGGACAATCAAGAAATTGGTTTAGCTAGAATGTCTGGTAAAAATGAACCTGTCAAAATAAAAAAAAAGACATTTCAAATAAATTAGAAAAGCTATATTGAGTTTCAGTGGTGGCTTAAGTTGCAGAACTACAATTTCTGCAAGTCATGCTATGCCCTTCTTATGTCTTCTTCCTTTTAAATGCTTGGAATTGATGATGTGAATTAACTAGGCATTGTAGCTCAAGTAACAATACCTAATGCCATGCACAGAAAAGAGCAAATAACATTTTTCAAATTCTCTTTATCCCTATCCAGCAGAGAAATCATAGACATACCAAGATTATGCATTCTAGGAGTTTGGGGAGGTTTTTTCTTTTAACAGAGACGCTTGAATGAGTTTGCTGCTTGCCTCAAGCATGTACGTATGTGATCATAGCTTTGGGAGTATGTGGTGCAGAATGATATGCTTACAGCTTTGTTGTGGTCTTGTAACCTTTAGCTGTTGATAAGGACATTCCAGTGCTTGTGGTGCTTCCTAAAATCCCCAAATCCCAAAATCACAGCCTTGCAGTTGTTATTGATATTGTGCTCAGTTTCTCAGAAGTAGGTCACATTTTATTTATTTTTTGGCGGGGGGGGGGGGGGGGGGGGAATTGTAAGTTAAGTACTGAAAATGAATAAATATCTTGGAGGTAAATGACCCATCATTAACATAGGGCAGCTGCCTGAGGTATTTGTAATTGTTGTTATGATGTGATGTGATTTGAGATAGTTGTTATAAGCTGGAATTAATCTGTGTGACAACAAGTCTAATACAGTAATGCATTGCAATATTTACAAATTAGCTATGATCAGATGCATATGCTTTGTTTTTTTTTACACTTTAAAGATTTACATTTTGCAGATAATGTTGTTCAAATGATTGTTTTTTGTAATTCAAATGGGATACACGATGCATTTCGTTGCATGTGCTGGTATATGTCTCTGCAGAGGAGACAGTGCATCTTTGAAGATGACAGTATAAAAGGACTTTGTACTTGGCCTGAGAAAAGTCCCACTTACCAGTAGTTGTGAGCTAATAGAAAAACAAACTATAAATAACATTTTGGCTGCATGATATTCTAATATTACGCTGTTGTTTTTATTATTGATGTAAAACAGGAAACTGTGTCTTCTCTATTTTAAGGGCCATTGGGTTTTTTATTTGCCAGTAGGTGGAGACCAAGCTCCATGTGTGTTACACGCACAGCTTGCCAACACATCTAACCTTTAGAGTTGAATTCTTTTGACAGCACTGTCCATTTGTCTCTTCACAAATGGACTAATTACAGGGTTGACGCAGAGATTCACTGGTTCCCCCTTAGTGGAGATTTTCTTTCCAAAAGGTAAATTGATTTGTATTCAGTGGTGATCACAGTTAATAAGCATGTGTATCTCCAGTGATTTTTAAGAGCCCTCTCCATCATTTTCATGATGTTTGAAATTAATTGATGGCTTTAAATAGCTGCCATCGTGAGTCATCACTTGCCTGTTCAGGATTATGCAGACTTTTCTTTGCACACATGTGTTTAGTTGGACATTTATTTAAAAATTGTCAGTATTTCTGCAGCTGTTTGGAATCCACTTTTCTGCTGCTGTGTAATTACCATGTTGTGTATTACAAACACTGTTATCATAGTTGGGTAATTATAAGACGGTGAACTGCCATGATAATTAGCAATTTAATCGATTTGTTAATAACTCATCCATAAAGTTATACAGAATAAAAAGCGATGGATTATATTGTCATGATTATTGGTTAGTTTAAATGTGTACATTTATGTCTTGGCGCTTTGTCAGTGGTTTGAAATTCTACTCTTAGACTCCCCCCCCCCCATGATAGCCTCAGTAAACATGAGCAGTGAAATCATAAGTAGGTCAAGTAAATGTGTTTCATTTATGTAACATCTCTGACAGCTAAAAAAACATGTATTCAAGGGTGAATTCATTATTTGCATAATGCGAGGATCAACTTCCAATAGAAGGTGAAACATTTTGTGGAAGTGACATGTAACTTATTGTCGTAGAGGTATAAAGCCGCCATTTTCTTGCAAATTCTGCCCATTTTGATACGATATAAAACATATCTTCTTCTTGACAGAGGAGATGCAGGTTGTATCGCTTAGACACCCACTTCCTTTTAGAGCCCAAATTGCTGTTTGTGATCTTCGATGGACCCTCAGTTTGAAAGCCTTTCAATCTCTGTCCTCTGTCCATTTATACACTTTTTTGGACTGCTCAGTACTTCAAAGCAGTGGTGCATAA